ACTGCGCAGCAATTGCCGGCCGCGCCGGCAGGTCGCCAGGTTGGGCGCCCATACGGGGGACCCGTAGAGCGCCATCGCCCGCACCACACCCGTGTGAAGGCGGCGGACCCCCTCCCCCGGACCCCCGAGGTTGGGCAGAAGACGACCCAATAGTGTCTTCACGCCCTCTATCCGGGGAACGAGGCGGCCGAAATGGCCCTCCCATCTCCAACGACCGTCCAGGTCAAGGCCGCGGTACTTCAGCCTCTCCCCGACCCGGACGGCCGTATCCCCGACCCGAATCCAGGCCTGGGGCGCCCGCCGCGACAGAGGCAGTCCGTGGAATAGGACTACCTCCGTCTTATAAGCCGACTCTAATAGCGGCGACACACTCAGCCCCAGCCCCTGGATTCCCCTGGCCAGCGTGGCCACCGCCATCTCGACCAGGCGGCTGACCATAGCCACGTCCCTCCCCAGCCCGATGACGAGCGTGTCGTCGGCGTAGCACACGACACGCACACCGGGGGGGAGGGGAGGGGGCCGCCTACCATGCTCCTACCTGTTGGTACTTGGAATTACTGGTATTTATGCCAAATTAACATTCGATTTAACACTTATTTCGGTACTTGAAATAAATTTATCAAGTGGTAGGAGATTTTCCTTCTATCCTACTTTTTCCCCTAGCAGAAGCCGAGTTTGCTCGCGAATGTACATTATGTTTTAACATAGTCTTTGGTATTTTACCTTACAACTAGTAACTTAACCTAGTTTCCCTTGGCATTTTGCCTTATAAATTACCGTGACAGTCTCGGAGATTACAATGCTCATTGAATTCGGTTGTTTTAGGTTCGGTAGCAAAGGAAACCTTTTTCCGCGTGTAGGTTTTTTGAACGCGGAGCTGTTTGCTACCTTTACTTGCGCTAGGCTCTTGATCGCTCGGATGCGGAGTAAGATTGACATCTAGATTGTTCAGTACAAAATACGCGGGTTTAAGGCGCTCGACCGCTACACTCTGCGACGTACCATTTATATCGATATTGTAGACACGTTCGGAGACGCGCTCAATAATTTTATGCGGCCCCGTGTACGGACGTTCCAACGCTTTTTTTATGGGGCCCGCGCGCAGAAATACATGAGTACACGTTTGTAGGTCTTTAAAGACGAACGCTCGCTTCCTGTGATGATGCGCAACGGGAATCGTCCTGACTTTCCACATATGCTCGCGAACTTCTTCTAAGACGTTTGGATCGGGAGTCAAATCCTCTGGAAGGAAAAATTCTACCGGAATTCGCAAAGACGTTCCGTACAAATATTCGCAGGCAGATGCGCCAGTATCCGTATGGATGTGCGTGCGGAGACCAAGCAGAACCGTTGACAGGATTCGCGTCCACTCTTGGTTCGCGTGACACATCAACGCGTCTTTGAGCGCTTTGTGCCAACGCTCGATGATGCCGTTCGCGGCCGGGTGAAACGCGGTTCTATGAATCCGTTTGCAACCAATCAACGACAACAGTGCCGCGAATAGCTGCGATTCAAATTGCGCTCCCCGGTCTGTGGTTAAAATCTTAGGGGCGCCGAACTGCGAGATCAAACCGTCGAAAAACGCTCTCGCGACCGTCTGAGCAGTTATATCTCGAAGCGGAATCGCCTCTACCCAACGCAAGAATCGATCGATCAACGTTAGACAGTACCTGAAACCCTCGCAAGTCGGCAATGGACCTATTATGTCCATGTGGACATGGTTCAGCCTACCGTCCGGCGCTACACATTGTGAAGGGGTCTGCTTGGCATGACGCGAAACCTTCGCCTGCTGGCAGTGTGTACAATTTTTATACCACAGCGCAACATCGCGGTGCATGTCTGGTCATACATATTTTTGTCGTATCAACCGATCGGTGACCTTGGCATCGGGGTGCGTAAGACTGTGAAAAGCGTCGAACACTCTTTGGCGAAGGAACGCGGGAATGTACGGTCGTATTGCCTCTCCCGATAATTCGCTAAACAGAGCTGCATGCGAAGGACCCCACGTTAGTCGTTTTATTGAAAGTGAAGAGTTCGGGTCTTCAAGAATGAGCTTAAGCTCCTCCTCAGTATCCAGTTCTTTCGACAGTTCGTCCAAATCTATTGCGGTCGGCAATCGATTAGCCTCGACACGAGAAAGAGAGTCCGCAACGATGTTTTCGCTACTCACTATATGCTCTATGGTCATTGTGAATTGCGCGACGAACTATATTGGCATGCTTGTCGCAGAGATGCCTTCTCCGCGCGTTGCATAAATGCGTAAATTAACGGTTTGTGGTCTGTTACCACCTTGAACTTGCGCCCTTCCACGAAGTGTCGAAAATACTTGATTACTTCGTACACTGCTGTTAATTCACGGTCGTACGCGCCATAGTTTCGCTGCGCTTTGCTCAGTTTTTTTTTAGAAAAACGCCAGAGGCTTCCATTCGCCCTCGAGGTGCTGCTCGAGCACTGCACCGATCGCGAAACCGGCGCGTCCGTAACAATTCGCGGCCTTGCCTATCGTTCTTTTTGGACTCGTGAAGATAGGCATGCAGGGGTGCCTGGGTGGCGGCCGCGTGAGGCACACCGCGACGGTAAAAATTCACCATACCCAGGAAACGATGCAGTTCTAGGATGGTGCGCGGTTTGGGGAATTGCATTACCGCCCGCACCTTCTCGCTAGTCGGTTTCGCTCCCTTACTGCGGATGTGGTGACCGAGGAAATCCAGCTCGGGAACACCAAAAGTGCATTTTTCCACGTTCACGCGTAAGTTAAACTCTTTCAACCTTCGCAAAACAACACGGACGTGCTCCAGATGCTCCCTCAGCGATGCGGATGTAACGAGAATATCGTCAATGTAGACGAAAACGAATTCCAGGTCGCCTAGGGCCTGATTAATGTATCGTTGGAACGTCTGACTGGCATTCCTCAGTCCGAAGGGCATCGTTACGTACTCGAACAATCCGAAAGGGGTGATTACCGTCGTCTTAGACATGTCTTCCGGGGCGACCGGGATCTGATAATATGCCCGACCACGGGCATGGCTTCCTACACCGATACGCATCCGCGCCGACCCTTACTCTCGGATCTACTACTGCTTCTGCGCTGCCTAGACTGCGAACGCTTCGCTGAGCGTCACGTGTCCGTCGCTAACCGATTCAATCTCGCACTGAGCGCCGCTACCTCCGCGTTCAGTCTGTCCAATTGTGATTTCTCCGCTACCGTGGCAATCTGTGGACTCGAATTCGTCCCGTCCATGATCTGATCGGCCAGCTCAGCTAGTTCTTGCAATTCCACGACATTTGACGAGGCGTGGATCGCTCTTGTTTGACCCGGCACCTGGTCCAGGAAAATAGACTTTATGATCGCGTCGTCGCACTTGTTGTCATTGAGGTTGCGCAACCTACACAGTATGTGGGACTGCTTTCCGTCCGTCAACACCTGTCCCTTTAGTAGCTGTCGGAGTCGCCTTTCCGATGAGGCCGCATATGCCGAGATAACGCGATTCTTGATCTTTCGATACGGGTTAGTTACGTCATCATCCGTAACAAAATCTTTGAAGCTCGCTATAACTTCGAAGTCTAAGGCTCCGACTATAAAATCGACCTTCGTCTGTTCGTCAACGATACGCGCGTTACGAAACGTTGCTTCTACGCGCGAAAACCAAAGCGCCGGATCCTCACGAAAGAACTCGGGTATCTTCGGCATACGGTACGAGTCGATACGCGATTGTTACTGATCCTGCAATCGTCGTGTCGCGATTTCGAGCTATCACTGAGTTCGCATTAACTGGTCTGCAAGCGACTGGCCGTTCTCCTTTTCCGCCATTATTCGCGATATCGCTTCTCAGCTAGTTAAGGATTTAAACGAGCGGACAAGGACGCAACGCTCGGGTGACGCTGGTATACGCGCGCGCACACGACAGGAAAGAACCAATATGGCCGCATCTCGAACCAAAGATAGCCGCTTCTTTGTCCGCGCGTGTCTCGGAAACGAAAAATGGTCGCTCGTCGGCAACTACGCACCGGCAACTAGAAATTTTTCTAGAAGGTCCCTATTTCTCGCTCGGCTTCGTTATCACCCTGTTAACGAACGCTACCTTGGCACAGGCGATGCTGCATGATGTCCTGAAGATGCGCTGCACCGCTGGCTGCTTGTTGCGTGGGCCACGTGTTGCTGGAATGTTCTCGAGCTTCTCCGTGATGTCTCTGCGTCACTCCAGGGTGTCGGCGATGACCTCGTCAGGCGGCAAGGGCCGCTACCTCCTCGCTGCTCCTCAGGAAAACGCTCCTCCGCTCTCGACGGTGGAATCACGTCGGGGTCACCAATGTAGGATGGACTGGAGGTCACTCGACCCCAGGGCAGTCCTACTTTTGCCGTGTTCTTAATTTGAAGCTTTTCCTTCGAGCCCGAGATGAGGGTGGTGAAATGACGAGTTCAGTTATCAGTGTGGTGTAAACAAAATAGTATTTATTTTATATCTGCACACACCTGCGTATCACAGCGTTTTACGTAGTACACGCTATCGTTCAAAGCGACTCTCGGAACTCGAGTGGGGGAATTCCCGCCACTGTCGCTACTGTCGCGTTGCTACGCTGCCAACTGCCGCTATTCTCCACCACCGACTAGGTATAGAATAGACCTATCATCCAATGCTTTTTTCTGTCCCACGTTCATAGGGCTACGTAGCCCTATTACTATTTTAGTGTCAATATCCGACGTTACCGATAAAGCATGCATTCTGAGTATTATTAGCACAAATGAAGTGTTATATATTCCATTCATATTACGTGTATCTATATGATTTCACGAGAATAAAAATATCCGATGCTTCAATTTAAGGTTAAGGGATAAATATGACAGTCATGAAACATAAAACGGAAAAGTATATACTTTTTCACTTAACTACAAGACAATTTATTCTAAATGTATCGTTAATGGACATTTTTATTAACCATACTTTTTACATGTTCTTGTTTTATTCGTTTTTATATCTTGCCTTACATTGGTATATTTGTAACAGATAAATTCAGAATAGATGTAGTTTCATAAATAGTTTATCAAATCTACATGTGGGAGAATATATACACCGCTTTCATTAACATCTACATATTTATAATTTATATGGGAGTGTGAATAGTTTTACTGCCTATTGTAAGAATTTTAATACGCACGAACAATTACTTTCTGGCAATTGGTAAATTTTTACATATGAATTTACTTACACGTTATTTACTTCCAAAAATTTTATTTATTGCGAGAAATTAAATAATGAACGTATGTTAATATTCAGCTACGTGTCTCTCAAATTAAGTGAAATACAGAAGTTTTATTTTCTTGAAAATTAGTGTCAAAGAATGCAGCAACTGGTCAGATTAGTTTCGTAAATAAATCGAAACCCTGTATCGGCACATTGTTTTTTATGCTATCAAATATCACACGGAATCTTTTAGGAAGTAGTAAAATCTTTTACACAAATTCAATAAAATACTTTCAGGTACCCAGTTTAGGGCTATGAAATTAGAATGTTCAAGAAGAGCTAAAAAACTTTCATATTTGCAATTATTTTGTGAAATGAATAATAAATAAGGGTCTTAGGGATTTATACTGGAGAGCTAAATCTATAAAAGGAAAATGTCGCTTAAACAAATTAGTTAAATATGATATTTATTTGGGGAATATGAACATCATAAATAAACGAGAGGGGTAGAACGAGTTGCGGTAACGGTGCTCTCCGTCGGTGTCGACGCGTACCGAACGAGGCCGAAGATGGTCGGAGCGGGCGAAAGGGAGAGAGCGAGAGCGATACAGCGAACCGCAGTATCGGGGCTCTCCGTCGGTGTCGACGCGTGCTGAGGAATTTCAGTGGTCTATGAGGGGAGGTGTACGAGCGAGAGAGTACGGTAGAGCGTGCCGCGGTATCGGTGCTCTCCGTCGGTCCAACGCACTAGTGACTTTGCGTCACACAGTTAATTGACCTAGCCGTGTACGCCGTGTACCATTAGATTAGATTAGATTTTGATCGTTCTCCTGGGAGCGGGGAGTTTAAAATCCTCCACCCCTAGGCCCGGCCGTGGCTTAGTTCGAGCGCCTGTGGCCATCTCACCAGCCCTGCAATAGGACTGGGGTGGGCTTTACCCAGGGATAAGGATTCCCCCGGCATCTTCGCACCCGACCAACTTTTTTAGGCCCGGGCCGCATGAAGGCGAGATGCTACTTGCCTGGAGGTCGGAGAGTCACTAGGATCGTCCCATCCCTACCTACTGAGAATGGAGTATGTACGTCGGGGCAACCGATCTTTCGTCTCCATATAGTGAGTACCAGCGTCACTCTTTGCTTCACCCACAGACCGAGTCTGTACCAACGGGTGGGATATATCGTGCTTTTTGTACGTACCATCATCGAGAGAGAGCTGTATCGCCTAATATTCGCAACCCCCTGTGTATCTTGACCTGCCTATGTCCCGACTACTTCAGGAACCCCCCCACCCGCTGTTACCCAAATGTGTACAAATCTAACACCACCCCCCGTGTTTCAGGAGAAGGTGGGAGCCTCGCGGGACTCCGACAGAAATACATGGGGAGGCCGTTCTAGCCGACCTCTAGGAGAGACGTGGTCGGGTTCGGCGATCACCTCCCCTGAGAGCCGCAGCGGACCATAAATGAATCCACCTCCAGTCTGACGTTAGTCTAAAGCTACAGCGAGGTTGTGATTTTAGAGCGTGAAGACGATTGTATAGAGAGAGTAGATCGCGCCCACCCCCCACCCTAGATTACCAAGGAAATCGCGACGCGAGATCGTAATCAATGCCCACCGGACTTCGCCGAAATATCTCCGAAGAGGGAATATCAGCTATCATCAGGGGCATTGCTCGCGTTCGGTCTCGAATAATCGCCCCGCCCTATTGGTTGATGCCCTCTCTCTCCGGCGTACCACGGTCGTTGCAGCGTGTGCCAAACGCCTCCGCGATCCGTCGTCATATAATTGTGCTCCGGGATCGCGGTGTTTTATCGGCACGTGTGGCCTGTTTTCTCAGTAATGCCATACTGTACGTCTGGCGCCTCGTCCGTAATGAACTGCCTTCCAGATTACCGTGTCCACGGGACTCCTTGGGCCGATATCCGCGCAAAGGGATGCTCTTCATCCCCTCCGAGACTCGGTTTGTCAGTATACGTCCCGTTGTCCGGTATCGCAACCGGGCCCCTTCGCGTGAACCATGTGTGGGACGACCAGGCCTCCGAAGAGTTGTACCCCAATGTACACCGTGGAACGTCCCCAAAACCCACCTTCCCTCGGGCCCGATTGATCGATCCTGTCCACTGCTGGCTTGTCTTTATGGACACCGAGGAGGTATCCCTCGGCGGATACCCCCTTGGATCCAACATGGTTGACCTCGCGTCCTTGATCGCCGTGTTTCTTCGGCTGCATCGGTACCGGTGTATCCTTTGCCCACCGGTCGTCCGCGCGCGAACAAGTACGAGTACTCGAGAGCGAGTGAAATTGCATGCTCGAGCACGACCGTCCGCGCCGACGGCGGCGATCGGATTCTCGGTACCTGGTTGAAATTTCGAGAAATTTCTGGATCCGAGGACGAAGGGGGAATTTCACGTCTGATACACCGCCCGCGGGCGGATATCTCCGTCTCCCCCTTCACGGACGGTCCTCGAGTTCCGGGCCCTCACCACCCCAGGCTACCTCCCGGAACCCACCCGGTCCGTTGTCCACCGCGTAACCCGTGTCTGTCACCGCGATCCCTCACGCGGGGGTTACTGGTTTCGAGTCCCAGTTTTTCCGTCGTCCTGGGATCGCGGCGGGGACTGAGAGGCGAAATGCGGCTGGAGTCGACAGGGTTCCCCATCTGCCTTTCTCCCGTGGTGCCTCTTCACGAGTGGTCTTCGGGAAGACTTACAACCCCCGGTCTGCTTCCCTCCCGACTCGTATCCCGACACCCCGTCCGTACGGGCTCGGCACGCGTTCGTGGCTGGTTTGTCTCTTATTCGTTCTACTTTACACTTTTTTCGGACTGAGTCCTGTTTTTATTTGTTGTTATTATTTGTATTTCATATATATATTATTATTCTGTATTCTGTGTTTGCGTTATCGTTATTCCGAGTAACCGGTTCTTGTTTGAATTGATTCCTGTTAGTATTATTATCATTATTATTATTGTAATTTCTCACTTTTGTTCGTATTTGTTTCTTATTGTTATTATTGTTTCCTTCGAGTATCCGGTCTCGTTCCGTTATATGTGTTATTGCCTTGTGTTATACGGTTTCCGTTCTGACGTTGCTGTATCTTTTCGTATTTTATTCTCGTTTATTCGTTCCGTTATCATTCGTTCTAAGTTTCCCGGTCTTATTTTTGGTTTTTGGTTATTTTTAGTTTTTTTTTTTTTTTTTTTTTTTAGCCCGAGTTGTTCGATTCGTGCTCTGGTCTCTCATGTACATGCGTGTACGCTACCTCTCTGTTAGGGGGGGCGGGGGTAGTGTGGGACTCGCCCCAATAGGGAAGAACCCAGGGGGAATACCCACTAAAAGCTCACGGTGGCCGGGCTCGGCGCTCTGCGGGGAGGCACCGGGATCTCTTGCGAACACAACCGGTACCTCCCCAGCGTCAGCTCCGCCAGTTGACGGCGGAGCGCCCTCTCTGTGGTGGGGGGAGCGGAGAGCTCCCCCCCCCCCACCGGACCGCGGGTGCCACAGTCCCGCGATCCCAACGGTCCCTTTTAGTCGCCTCTTACGACAGGCAGGGATTACCGTGGGCGTATTCTCTGTTCCCCGCCACACAGGGAAGAAGCGCACCGCCGGGAGGAACGAACGTCCCCCCCCCGGGCGGCGGCATCGACGCGGGCACTTCTAGGGCTGGGGTGTCAGCCACACCCCCACATGCCCGGCGACCCCGCAACAGGCAGGCGAGCCCGAGGGCCCGTCGTCGCCAATCGTGCGGGGACGCCGCGTCGCGCCGGTCGCCCAGCGACCGGCCAAGAGGAGGGAGGGCTCAGGGGGCACCAGGCCCCCCCGCGGACGGGGCGGCGGCCAGCCGCCGACCCCCTGCGCGCCTCGCCCTCCTCCTCATGATGCGAGCGGGGTCGGTCACCTCCCGACCCCGCTCGTCGTCCTCCTTCCGCGAGACCACGTTCTCGCAGAAGGAGGACACCGCCCTCCACGACCCATCGCTCCCCACCATGGCAGCGACCACGGCAGGGAGCGAGAGG